ACCCACAAAGAGAGACTGAACCACCAGACATCACATAGTTTAGGGGTACAATCACACCATTAATTTCCACCTTTTGGAAAGGGCTGCTCAACATACAACCTTCACTGATGACCCCCTGGATGGCCCACGACAGTCCAGCAGTGCAGCTGGAAAAAGGAAGAATTGCAAACACATGTCGCTGAGAGTGGCCAAGATGGGTAGGATGGGCAGTCAGTAGACAATTATATTCCAAAATTGTCTAGGCGTGGGTCAAGGGCAGAAATTCTAACATTTTTTTAATGCTTATCATGTGCCCAGCTCTATGATAAATAGTTTACAAACATTGTATCTTTAGCACCCACAACAATGTTCCATAGTCAGTAGCATTAAGATATTTAACAGATAAGGAAACAAAAGTAAAAGGAAGATTACCTCACTTATCTGAAGTCAGACAGTGAGAAGAGAACAAACCCATGACACAAAGTCCGGTCCAATGGACTCCAATACATATTCATTCTGCACTCTTCAGCTGCCAAATTGTAAGAATATTACCAAAGTTCCTGTACTACCAACCCCATCACAGGGATACAAAAATGGCATTAAATGGAATCGTTTGTGTAGGGTACTCTATCAGTTAGCTACTCGGCATCCATTCCCTTCTTCCTCTTTCCTAAAGGAATCCCAGTTCTGTTAAACTATTCATCCACCTCTCATGATTCAAAGAAGCTCACCCCATTTCAAACTCTGAGCATAGATTCTGATTAGTCTAAATAAATCAATACATGGCATTTCCTGGCATCTCTTACTGATCACAGGGTGGCATATGACCAAAATTGACCCAATCAGATTAAATGAATTTACATTCCATATTTGAGGAAAGCATCCCTCCCTCACTCTGCCTTCCAATCTCTTCCTCTCCCTCTTTCTCCTAATGTATGAAATCATGGGCACATGTTTTCCCAGTTACTAATGGTGGACATCTTGTGAGCAGGAAGAAAGCCAGCCTAAAGATGAAACAACGCATGGATTACTTATCAGACAGGTAAAGACTTGTTTGGCTTCTTGTCTATGTTTCTAAAGCACTGAGTCAATCAACTCAGCAGTTTTCCCTACTGATGGACTGACTGCTATACAAGATAATAAATCTTCTCTTTGTTTAAATCAGGTTGAATCTGAATTTATGTTACTTGCAACCAAATTTTTTCTGATAACTTGTTTTGCACCTACTGTCTTTACAAAAGACATGGTAATGACTCAAGTTAGGGTTGGGGTGGCTAGTGAAGAAATGAGAGTTTGGGTCACTTACCCTGTAATTCAGTACTTTGCAGCCCATCGGTTCTCATCAACACTGAACGCTCATGTGGCACATGACAGCAGCCCTGACCTCCTGCCACCATCCAGATGACTTCCTGATAACTCTGAATTTGACGGGCAAAGGCCCAGACTCATGCCATAAGCTAGGGAAAGCCTATACTGGTTTTCATTAAGCAGTTGGAGGCTGAGAGGAAACTCCTGACCAGGTGCTAATCCTCCCACTCCATGGTTGTATACAGCAGTGGTTTGGCTGAGCAGAAAAGGTTCTGAACAAGTGGGTGAGATGAGTAAGACCACACACCCCCATGAAGTAGGTGGTGTTCCATAGGGGTTTTTAGTCCTCCATTTTGTAGGTGCAGGAATACCTGAGAATAAGTAGAGGTGGGTGAAAAGGATAATGGAAGAAGGAGAGCTGGAGGAAGGGGTGTTGAAGAAGGCAAACCAAGCACAAAAGACCTTGTGACTCTCTGGGCACTTTGAAGAGCCTGAAGGCCTTGGGACCTCCATGGGAGAAATTACCCTCATCAAAGCAGCACGAAGACTAGGTCAGGTCAGGGGTGGACCAGTGTTTCTACAGATGCTTCCAACAACAGTGGTGCTTTTTAGGCAGTTTTCAAGCTGCAGGCCAATGCTGAAAGTTAAAGAAAGAAAGGAAAATGAAAGAAGAGCCCTCAATTCTGAAAACATATGAGGCACTGCCTGAAGACTCCTAGAAAAATCTGAGAGACTTGCAGGTGACCAAGTTCCTGCATTTATGATATAGGGACTCAGAGCTACCAATTTTTAGGTAATGATGACTATGCTGCCACACTTGGATTCACAGGCTGCTGAATCCTGAGACATCTGGATTATAATAGTATCCCTAAGGTGACCAACTCATTCCAATTTGCCTGAGACTTTCCTCATTTTAGCAGTAGTAGCCCCATGTCCTGGAAAAACCCTCAGTCCCAGGAAGACCAAAATGGTTGGTCACTTAAGCACACACTACCCACTTAACCCTTATACTGAACATGTCCCACACTGCCCATTTTCTTAGTCTACATCAAAATGGTTCAACCAGACCCAGCAAAAATAAAAGCTGATGATTTTCACTAGCCTGAGCCTCATCTGAGGCTAATGACATAGTTAAGTCTTTAGCCTAGTTAAAAAGGAAGGCACATCCTAAGAGGAAGAAACCTGGACCTAGAAGAAGTAAAGGGGGCAGGAGTGGTATCCAGGAGATGGCAAAAATCCCCAGTGTACTAAGTACCACATGCCAGATGTCAACCCTTCCCTGCTTACTTTGGGTAGCTGCCAAGCACCTAATGAACAAAAGAAAGGCTAGTTCAGATGCCTCTTTAAAAGAAATTAGCCAGGGAACAATTAAAAGCCTGGAATGAGCAATTAGCCCAAATGGCAAAGACTTATAAATCCTCCCTCGATTGAAAAGAGTTAATTAAAATTTTCAGCCTTAGGAAGGGAATTACTCTTTTTTGAAATTAGCAAATGTGTCATTAGGGTGATAAAGGGCTACACAGAAAAGGTCAATAAGGTACTTATTCAGAAAGAAGATATCCAAACCCTTTATTCAAAGCTACAGTAATTAAATCAACAATGTATTTAGCCAACAAGGGTATTCTTGAACTATTATGTTGAGTATAACGGGGTATACTATGTTCTAACTTATCTTGGAGAAGACAATAATCCCAGCCAAGGAAAAGAGGAAAATGGAAGCATATGTAAACCAAATAGTCTGCTACAGTCATCCAAATTCATTCCTTGGAAAGAGCAGGAAAATGGAGGTTTCCCAGATACAATCAAATTTGGTCTACAAAGACATCACTGACACTGAAAGGCATCCTTTCTCTCATGTAAACTGTAGAACAGGTGTTCAATAAGACTTAGTCTTTTTTACTACACTGTTCTGGATATTCCAATAATTTAGACTAGTGATCCTCAAACAGAAGCAAATTTGTCCCTGGGGAACATTAAGCAATTACTGCAGACATTTTTATTTGTCACACTTGAGGAATGGGCATGGTTGCTATGGGCATCTAGTTGGTTGAGGCCAAGGATGCTTCTAAACCTCCTGCAATGTATAGGTCAGCTCCACACAATAAAGAATTACCCTACCCAAAATGTCAAGAGTACCACTGCTGAGAATCTGTTGGTTCAGATATACTCTAATTGAAAGTTTGAATTTACTCCAACCATAAAAAGAAGGCTTTCTTGGCAAATTAGTGGCACTAGTTGATAAATGAAATATCATTTTAATTCAGTAACCAAATTACAGTATTTGAGAAACTTCCTTGTATGTCACTGTAACTCCGGCAGGAAAATCCTGGGGCAAAATACCTTTGAAACTGAAATCAGTCAAAGGGAGAAATAAAGTGGGAGAGACTCATTTATTTTTTACAAGCTGTCATCTACTTCTGCTCTCCCGTGTCTCTTGACCAGGCTGCAGAAGTAGAGCTCCACCTAATCTCTCCATAAGCCCCTCGCTTGCCCTTGTAACTACCTATGGAGGTTGACTACTTCTCTCCACTCCTCGGAAACACCTATTGATATGGAGATACACTAAGTCCATGCAAGAGATTCTGGAAATACTGCAATTTTACCCACAGTCACCACTGACTACAGCAATGACAATTTTCTAGTCTTTTCCTAAAAGCCAATGTGACAGGATTTTTCATTACCAATCTTTCATCAATTAATATTTTTCAAAGTATTAACACTACATATTCCATTCAAATAGTCCATACTTAAACATTTTTACTTATTAAGACTGGGTTTCTATAAATAAGTCCTGGGGATGTAAAGTACAGCATGGTAACTATAGTTAACAATACTGTATTATACATTTAAAAGTCGCTAAGAGAATATTTCAAAGTTCTTATCACAAGAAAAAACAAGTCTGTAATTATGTGTGGGGATGGATGTTAAGTAAACTTGTTGTGGTAATCATTTTGCAATATATATATATATATATATACACCAAATCATAATGTTGTATATCTGAAACTAATACAATGTTATATGCCAATTATATTTCCTTATAAATATAAGCAAATAGACTGGGTTTTTCTACAGCACTGAAAAAATCATTTGAAATTAATGAGGCCTTTTCCTTATTGTGATATATTTACATATGTGATAACTATATAAACACTGTTATCCTAAAATAAGCTAAAGTATTCATTTTTTATTTTTAATCAAACTTCTCTTTAAGGAGAACTTAACTAAAAAGAGATTACATCACTTTTATGTTTCTTTATCTAGCTAACAAATGATCCAGAGTTTTAAAAAATAGCAAACAACCACTTTATCTCCTTGCCCAAAGCTTGGCTTCAGGAGCTAAGTGCTGGCTGGAGTTTAAGTCTAATTCATTTCCAAGCATTCAACATTTATTACCTGGGAGACTTCTTTGTCAGCATAGCACATATTAAACAAGTTAGTGTAAGTATGTTAAGATTATATATGTGAATTTACCATTGACAAACTTGCCTCTCTGGTGCCTGCTGGGACAATAGCTAAATGGGCAGACTGGTTGTATTTATCAAAATTTACATAAACAAAAAAGCCAAGTCCCCACACAGGGTTAAAGAATAAATCAGTTACATGAGCCAGTGAGGGTTCCTGAGGGAAATGGCAGGTTCCAAGGAAAACATTTTTTTCACCTTGTTGTCATTTTACACAGGGGTGATGGAGTGCCTTAGAAGGAACATAGGTTGCATGTGGAAATGTCTGCTCCTCATTCCACTGGGAACAGAAATACATCCAAAGCATGCTACATTACAAAAGGAGTTCTCAGGGCTGCCAACCTTACAGTAGAGGTTGGGTAGTAGTATACTTCTCCGACATAAAAGAAGAAAAAGAAAGAACATATTAAACAAAAATATAGGTAAATACAATAGATTTTCCTTCTTGAGTCTTCTAAGTTATGTTTGATTGTTAAAACACAATTTATAATACTGTCTGATATGGCTCTAAATGTATGTAGAAGAAATACTTAAGACATCTTTATTATGAAAAGAGGAGAGAAAAGAGACAGAAAGGGAGGTATGATTTTAACACTTTATGCAAAACTGGTAAAATCATGATATCAACAGACTAATACAATGTGTATGTATAATGTACTACCTAAAGCAACCGTTAAAAATACCCTACAATAGAAACACTCAAATGCACTATAGGTAAATCAAAACTGAATTCTACAAAATGGTAAAGAAACCCACAGGAAAGCAGGAAAAAGAACAGATGAAAAAACAGGGAGAAAAAAACAGAAAACAAAAAGATAAAATGCCAGATTTAAACCTTACCATAACAATAATTACACTAACTGTAAATAGTAGGAATGGAAGTAAAAGGTTGAAAGTAAAAAGATGGCAGATGATATACCATGCAAATATCAATCAAAAGAAACAGGAGTGGCTATATAAATAACAGATAAAGTTGACTTCAAAACAAAGAAAATTATCAGTAACAGAGAGGGACATTAGACAATGATAAAAAAGATAAGTTCATCAATAAAACACAACATCCTAAATGTAAACATAACAAACAAGTCCTCAAAATACGTAAAGCAAAAACTGACCGAATTGAAAGGAGATATAGACAATTCCACAAGTATAGCTAGAGATTTCAACACCCCTCAATCAATAACTGATAGTATAATCAGACAGATAATCAGAAAGGATATAAAAGAACTCTACAATACCATCAGCCAACAGATTCTAATCAGAATTCATGGAACATTCTACCCAACAACAGAGGAATACACATTCATTTCAAGTGTTCACAGAACATATAACAAGATAGACCATATCCTGGGCCATAAGGAAAAAAAAAACCTCAACAAAATTAGAAGAATTAAAATCACACACAGTATTCTCTGTGACCAAAATGGAATTAAACCAGAAATCAACAACAAAGATAACAGGAAAATCTCCAAACACTTGGACACTAAACAGCACAGGATCAAGAAAAATCACATTTTAACTGAACAATAATGAAAATACAACATAACAAACTTAGTGGGACAGAGCTAAAGCAGTGTTGAGAGAGAATTTTATAGTACCAAATATGTATGTTAGAAAAGAGGAAAAGTCTCAAATCAATAATACAAACTGCTAATTAAAGAACCTAGGGGAAAATACAGCAAAAGAAACCCAAATCAAGCAGAAAGAAGGAAATAATAAAAAGCAGAAGTATCCATATCAAGATGGTTTCACTGGAGATTTCTACCAAATGCTTAATGAAGAATTAATACCAATTTTACACATTCTCTGACAGAAAATAGAAAAGGAATACTTCCCAATTCATTTTACAAAGCTAGTAACAACCTGAAACCAAAGCCAAAGACAGTACAAATAGAAAACCTACAAACCAGTATCTCTCATGAAGATAAACACAATAATCCTTAACACAATATTAGCAAATAGAATTCAATAACAGGAAAAACTTATAGATCATGATCAAGTTGGGTTTACTGTACAGATGCAAGGCTGGTTCAATATTCTAAAGTCAGTCATCTAATTCACCAAGTCAATAGGCTAAAGAATAAAAATCATATTATCATATCATTCAATACAGAAAAACAATGGACAAAATTCAACATCCATTCATGATTTTTTAAAAAACTCTCAGAAAAATAGGAATAGAGAACATCCTAAACTTGATAAAGAACATCAACAATACATTTACAACTAATATTATATTTACTGGTAAAAATGATTTCCAAGATGAGGAATAAGGAAGATGTCCACTCTCATGACACTTGTATTCAACATAGTGCTAGAATTTCTAGCCAACATATTATGGCAAGAAAGTGGGGGAAAGGCATACAGATAGGAAAGAAAGAAGTAATACTGTCCCTATTTTCAGATGACATAGTTATCTGCACAGAAAATCCCAAGGTATCTACAGAACATCTCCTGGAACTAACAAATGAGTCCAGAAAGGTCTTAGGATACAGGATAAACATACAAAAATCAGTTGTATTTCTATATACTAGCAGTGGGCATGTAAACATTAAAATTATAAATACAACATCATTTAAAATCATTCAAAAAATGAAATAGGCATATATCTTAAAAAACATGGACACTGCTTGTATGCTGAAAGCTATACAATGTTGATGAAAGAAATCAAGGAAGATCTAAATAAATGGTGAGGTATATACCATGTTCATGGATTGAAAGACCCAACACAGATGTCATCTCTCCCCAACATGACATACAGGTTTAACACAACTACTAACAAAACTGCAGCAAGATATTTTATACATATAGATAAGATTATTCTAAAAATGTATATGGAAAAACAAAAGGACTAGAATAGATTAAATATTTTGAGAAAAGAAATTAAAGTGGTAGGAATCAGTATACTCATTTTTAAGACATTATATAGCTACCATAGTCAATACTTCATGGTAATAGTGCAGGAAGAGACACAAATAGCAATGGAACAGAATAGAAAACACAGAAATAGACCCACATAAATATGCCCAACTGGTTTTATTTCATAAAGGAGCAAAAATAATTCAATGAAGGAAAGATAGCCCTTCAAAAAATAGTGATGGAGGAGTCACATATTCATAGGCCAAACAAATGAACCTTGATCTAAGTCTCACAACTTTTACACAAATTGACTTAAAACAGATCACAGACTTACATGTAACTCATGAAACTTTAAAACTTTAGAAAGAAAAATTAAAAGCAAATCAAGATCCAGGGATAAGCAAAGAATGCTTAGACTTACTTGATATCAAAAGCATGATACACAAAATGAAAATTTGATAAATTAGACTTCATCAAAGTTTTGACATTTGCTCTGCAAAAGGCTCCATTAAGATGATAAAAAAGCAAGCTACATATCATAAGAAAAAATGCAAACTGCATATCCAAGAAAG